ATGGCAATATGAAAATGAGTCGTGCATGTACTTCCATTTGAACATGTGAATTAGGTACGTATTTAATAATTAAAGAAAAAAGCTATCAATACAGGATGAGTTATAAAAAACACAACACATCGTAATGAACATAATTTCGATTAAAACGAATCTAAAAAAAATAAAAATCTATTACCAAGACATTCGCTTTTGTTAATTTCTTCAATTCCCGACCTCGAACTCCAATTGTCATTATAAACCATTTTAATCTTATAATTGTTGTCGATTTATTTTCCATTGCGTTTATCCATATTAGCTTGATCGATACCGAAAATTTTTACTGCCGTGTTTTCTATGCGAATTAAAAACTGATAAAACAATAAACATGGAAGATCAAGAATAAAAATAAAAATATTAATATTATAAATGCATATTTTTTGGGATTTGATGATTTGTAACTCCCTATTAATTGTTTGGGAGTTACATATCAAATAAATTTATTGAAATACCCTTGTAATTAAAATATGAACATGACATAAACCTACAAGAAGAATGAAATTTGATTGGTTGTCATGGTTTTCAAAGTTAACACAAAGTTGTTGGTTAACATTTGATCTTCCCCTTATATATATATATATATATATATATATATAATTGTAGAGTATATATAATGATAAAAAAATTCAAACCTATAAATGATAGTCAAAATTATTAATACGTGAAAGAAAAATTATGGAAAAAAATAATGTATTTTTATAGTAGAAAATACTTAGAATAAATAAAAATATTTTATTTTTAGAGGGAACAAAATAAATAAAAAAGGTTGAGGGTACAACACAACCCATGTTTAGTTTATATGATGGAGAATGATGAAAGCGATGTTTATAGTTGTTATGGAGAGGGATTTAAAGGAATGGTTTATGATTAAAGCAAATCATGTTTGTTGCCTTTTCAACTTATGTGGTCATTCACGATTATCACTAAATTTTCTCAAAAAAAAGGACTACCACTAAATTTATATATATATATATATATATATATATATATATATATGATAAACGTATGTTTGTTTCATAATATGATTATTTCATATATATTCAGTTCACAATGTAAAACTTTTTTACATGTAATTTTTGACCTTTTGTTTTGCAAGTAGACTAAAAAGGTTCATATTATGAAACAACCACATTTGAAGTAATTATATTGTGAAACAAATATATCTTAATCAATATTGTAAATTCTAGTTTTAGATGAAAAAAAACATGTAAAATAGCATGCACTGGTTCTCGAATATTATCACAATTTCTAAGAAAACTCATACGTATATATTTAGATATATACATGTATATATATATATATATATGAGGGGACCTGGTTGGATTCCAGTGAGAATGGTGGTTAAAATGAGAAGCGTAAGAAGGAATCTTCACATTAAGATGTATATTAGGATGAGATGCATAAGATCAATCCATGCATCAAGCGGGATTCATGGGTGGATTTGAGATTAAATGTGATCAATGGTTTAGATCATTTATTATGTTTCTCACTTTAACTCTCCTCACACAATCCTTTGCCTAGGGGGCCTTCACTTAAGAACCCATAAAAATTATGTTCTTACATGACTTTTATCCATCTACGGCTTAGATTTAGTGTATTGATTAACATATATTTGTTTCGCTATGTTTGTTTTACATATATTTGTTTCACAAAGTGAATACTTTTTATGTATTTGTGAAACAAAAAATACAACTAAAAAGTGTCATATTATGAACCGAATACATATGAAACAAACATATTGTGAAAAAAAATATGTTAATCGATATACTAAATTCTAGACTTAGATGGAAAAAATATGTGAAACAACACTTTATGATAATAATTCTCACAGTTATTACAATATATGGGATTCTCAAATGATTAATACCCAATATGTGTGTGTGTGTGTGTGAGTGAGAGAGAGAGAGAGAGAGACTTGGGATGTGAAACAAGGTTATTTTCGTAAGACCACATAAATAATATTGAAGTTTCACACCAAAACACTATGAATAAACTTTCACAGTGTTTTTACTGTGAATGTTCGTTATTTTGTGTACATTCACAATATTTTGTTGTAAAATTTCAACGTTATTTTATGGTCGTACGGGTCTCACGAAAACAGATTGGTCTCACGTGAAACCAAGTCACATATATACATACTTAGGATCATGTTAGATCAGTCTGTTTTTGTAAGACTCGTGTGATCATTGTTTAACACTTGAAACTTCACAACAAAACACTATAAATGTAATATTCACAGTGTTTTTGCTGTAAAGGTTCATATTCTTTTACCTTCATAGTGTTTTATTATGAAGTTTCAAGTGTAAAAATGTAGTTTCACGTGAACCCAACTATATATATATATATATATGTGTGTGTGTGTGTGTGTGTGAGTGTATCGGGTTGAGTTCCGGTAAGAAGGAAAGTTATGGTGAGAAGCCCCTTGCATCAATTATGATTGAATATCAACAATAATAAGATGTGTCAAGATGCACCGAATCAATTCTCTTCTAAAACGTAATTTATAGGTGGCATGAGATTAAAAGTGATTAAGGATTCAAATCTCTTCTAACACTTCTCACTATAACTTCTTTTTTCACACAACCATTCTCATATGTGTGTGTGCGCGCGCGTGCACTTGCTTCCATGCGTGTGTCATTATCTATCCATTCTTAGGTTTGAAAGCTTTTATGTTTTTTAAAATGGAGATCGAAACATTTGGGGTTTTGAAGAAAAAAAAAAATACAAGATTTGGGGGTTTAAGAAAACATGAAGAAGAAGTGGATTTGAAAATGTTAAATGAAAATAAGAACAAGTGGATTTTTATTCCTCATTTGATTTAAATCGAAGAATTTTCGACACTTTTAATCTTTGGAACTCAAGCTCAGACCAATCAGACACTATCCTTATTAATTTAGTTTTCAATGATTAAGACCAAGAATCTTATAAAAACAACGAATTTCATATAAAGTATAATTATTTGTGTATCATTGAATTTGTATGATGGGTGTCATTTCCAGCTCACAACATAACCCAATCAATATCATCCACCATTCGATGTTTAAGATATTTTTAACTATTTTTTAAATATTAAATAAAAAATTATGAATTTATGTTCTCATTTAATTAAATGGGGAGGGGGGGTATTTTATATTTAGAGCCGAACAGGAATAACTCGTGACAATTGAAATATGTTATATTATGGGTCCCATTGATTCAACTTCAAAGTGGGTGGCTGGGTGGATGCATAGTATCATACGTGGAATTGTTTACACTGTATTATATTTGTTGTATTTCTTTTAGCCTCGATTGCATGCTCCTCCTACCATCGTTATTATCCTGGACGCGCATATTTTATAATTTAGAATTACGTTGTTATGCAACATTTTACATTCTTAGAATTTTTATACCTAAATTAAAAACATTCTTTTGATCATCAACAGTTATCATTTGATTGATTATAACTATCTTAATTATAAAAAAAAAAGATAGAATAAAGTGGATTACATCAGTTGTGTAATTTATATTTGAATGCACCTCTTGTAATGTAAACATACTTGCATGGAATTAGAAGGATACGTTTGGTATCTAAACATAATATAACGGAAAAATTGTTTAGTATTTAGTAAGGCAGACTCGACAAGACATAACAGATAAAATAATCAATTTAACCCCAATAAGTTCTTTATATATTTTAATTATTTAATTTATTAAATTGTAATAAAATAAATATTTTATATGACAAAAATATATCATTAAAAAGTTTTCGTCAAAGTTATTAAAATGACCAAAATAAAAGTTTTATATAATTTCCAGTTTATATATTATATTTTATTGTTAATATTTAATAATTACATAAATTAATAAAAAAAAACTAATATTTTGAGGATAGTAAAGTAAAAGTTTAAAGAGTATAAAATACAATAAATAAAATGTAAAGAGAAAGATTAAATTGGTTCCACATAAATCCTGTCAAACGTGGAACAGTAAACTCTATTTTACCCAAATAGTATAAGACAAATAGTATCATTTTCTCTTTTACCCAAGCTAGGAATTTTCATTTTTTATGCAAACAACGGTTTTAACGTTCGTTGTGATTTCTGAAAGTCAGATATGCGTACATATCACCTCTTCGATATCTTTTTTTTCAAATGAGAAATATTGGGTTTCTTTGATTACACAAACAATTGAAAACATCCCATGAATTTAGTCGAACAAGTTTTGTAGAAATTAAATACCTTTCATAAATAAACAGTTCCAAAAGAAATTGATAACTAGATTTCAAACTGAAGCTTATATATAAGTATATTTGTAGGGGTTGGGTTGGGTGAGAATGGAAGTTATAGTAAGAAGAGTAAAAAGAGATCTTCAACCTTGAATCAATCTTAATTGAGTATCAACAAAGATGCATCAAATCAACTCCCATGAAGCACATTTCATGGAATGAGGTGAGATTAAAAGTGATCAAGAATCCAGATCACTTCTTACATTTTCTAACCTTAACTCCTATTCTCACACGATCCTTTGTCTACATTGTAGAACCTATGTGACATTCAGTTTGACATCAATAAAAAGCAATATCTATTACGATTACCGTTACTTTACTATAAATGCATGTTTGAACTTTGAAGCATCCGGCTTCACAAATTTTACGTAGGAACTATTAGATTCTGTATGTTATACGTTAAAAGTATGTTTTAATAGATAAAGAATCATTAAGAGCAGGAATCTTATGAGAAAAGTTATCATATAATCATTAATTCTATGACCAATTTGTTCATATAAATAGATTTCTATAAAGTGTAGATTGAAGTTTCTTCAGGAAAATAGATGGAGGAGTTTAAACTTCATCCAACAACAACAAATTAAAACAAGACATTATATAAAGGAATCGAAAAACACTCGTTTTTTTTCTTTTTTTTTTTTCCTTTCTTGCAGAAATATAAACAAAAAGAAAACCATTATAACTCCCTCTCTCTCTCTCTCTCTCTCTCTCTCTCTTCGTTTGCTTTTCTCTCTCTCTTCTTTCTTTTCTTCTTTCCTTTCAAGAAGCAAAGAAGAGAGGGGAACTGGGAAACCAGAAGAGAAGAGAAGAGAAGAGAAGCCATTTCTTTCGAACCTCTAAATCGTCAGAAAACACATCCTCGAGGGAGATCGAACACAGAGGAATCATATTTGGTTTTTATAGATAAAAATACGATAATATGTTGGTAGCAAACAGCTTTGATCTATGGCAAAAAGATATCTTCTTTTCAGCTGCAGAGGAGGTTCAAGCATCTGCAGATATGTATGGTTTCTTCTCGATTTTCGTTTTCTCTTAATTTCCCTTCATTTTCTATATGGGTATCTTTTGATTCCATTGAATTCTTAGTTTTTCTCGTTTAATTTTGGGTTAGGGTATGTGAATCTCTTTGACCTTTTTATGGTCTGACTATTCCTCTATTTGGTATTTAAGAAAATTTGTCTTTTATATGTCATTAGTTTTTTTTCTTTTTGATGTGGGTTTTCGTTGTTATTTCTCTATTTAATCCAAACAATTATTAATTTTTATGAGATAATGTTGTTTTTGTTTGAATTTTTTAGAATGGAGTCAGCTTACAGGACATGGGTTAGACAGAAGAGAGAAGGGTTAGCATCCACTGATTTGGATGAGCTTTGTAGGGAGCTGCAAACTGCTTTAGCCACAGCAAAATGGCAGGTTGGTTGCTTCAAAGAATCATAATCCATCATATGTCCTAAACAAGGCCAAACAATTTCGAAAAGTAATATGTGTTTTGTATTTTAATTTTTGAATTCAGTTAGATGAGTTTCAAAGGGCTGTTAGGATGAGCTACAGAAATACTGTTGATGATGTTAGGACGACAAGGCATGAACAGTTTGTTTCTGCCATAGCATCCCAGATTGCTGTAGCAGAAGCAGCACTGAAAGAGTATTTCAGTGACGAAGTTAGGAAACCTCTTCGATGGGTAAATTTGGATGAAGAAGAATGTGATGACTTGGCTATGTTCCTCTCCGGGTGTCCAGGAAGCTCAAAGAGCACAAAAGACTCCGAATCTGATATCAATGATTCTTTGAAAAAAGATAACTTAATACCAAACTATATGGCAAGTTGTAATGATGTTAATAATGAAGGCTGTGTTAATCGTAGCTATGTTGTAGAGATGGAGCCAATTGAAGTATTGGGAACTAGTGATGGTTCTTCGGGTCAAGCTGATAAGAAGGCTAGCTCAAGGAGAACATGGGGTTCACGAGATGTTGGCCCCCTAAAGATTACAATTGATCATGATAATGAACAGAAGAAACCATTGATGTTGAATATCGAGTCCACATCAAAAGATAAAGGTCTTGTTTGGAGGCCGAGATGTGGGAATTATTGGATCAATCAGGTTAGTATGTGAATGTCAACTTAATTGGTATTCTTTTATTGAATTTAATTTAGTATTCTTAAGTAACTCATTTGCAGATATTTAGAAGGGCTGCTGGAAGTCAAAGGCAACTACAGACCTCAATACACTTGCAGAAAAGTTGTTCATTTCGACTCATGCTTGTTTTGATGCTAACCATCTTTTTGCTTGGTAAGTTTTTCATCCAAATCTTTTCCTCAGAATATATGATAGCCCAGATGATCAGACTTGGAATTACCAGAACTACAGTAGTTTTGTTCTCTAATTCTATGTCTGCTGCTAGTTGTGTGCTATCAAGTTATATTGCTTATAAGCAACCATTTATAGCCATCAACTTGTAAAGTCCTTCACTATGAGTTCCTAAATCAAAGTTGACTAACTAGAAAGGTGTGCCCACTTAGATATCAAGTGTATTGTGTGTGTATATTGAAGCTATGAGCCTATGAGGTCTTTGGTCCAAGTGGAGTCTATTAACAGGTATGAGTGCCAGTAAAAGTGTAAAACAAAGACTAGATTATACCAACAAGCTCAGAGTGTAATAAAGCATAGCAAAGTGTCCATTTGAAAACCTTTGTTATCAACCCACCCATTCAGTATACATATATTGGAAGAAAGAAAAATAAAGCTGGACAGAAAGGGACCAGTGACAGAAAATAGTAATTGGACAGTTGGGCAGAGGGCAGATTAGGAATTCTCTAGAATTGGCGTTCGAGAGAAGTATAAGTAGTGGGGAGCTTAGGGGTGATGAGCATGCAGAAATTGATGGCTCTTTTGGGAGATTCCTAGCGTCTCGAATTGCTAGATAGCCTCTTGCAATGTTCCTTTATAATTCAAGCATTTGGCATCTTATTCAATATTAATTTTCCCCTGTTCATCCCTTTTTATTCTCTGATTCTTAACAAATTGGTATGAGAGCCATCAATATTGAATAAGATGTTGAATGCTTGAATTACAGAGGAAAACTGTAAGACTATCTAGCAATTCGAGAAACTAGAGACCTCCAGTCCATCCCAACCTGCCCAACTATTCTTTTCTGTCACGGGTCCCTTCCTGTCCAGCTTTATTTTTCTTTCTTCTAATATATGTATACTGAATACATAACAACCTTCTTGTGATTCTTGGAATCATTGCACCTTAACAAGCACCATAAAAAACAAGGTGTCTATCCCATACTGAGAGAATGTGAATACGCTGCTATTATGCTACATGATCTTGTTGGTAAATGCCTATTGGTTTTGTGGATGGTTGTACCATGTAAATAAGCATGTTACATATGAGTTACTCATGGAAGATTGTCATTGTTCGTGCATACATTTCTTAAACAGCCCGATGTAGAATCCATGTGCTACATGATCTTGGGTACCCGTTTATTGATATAAACAGAATTCCTTAACAATGAACCTTCTTAGAATGACTCCACAAAAACATGATTCTTGTGAAGAAGTATCAATAATAGATGTGCGTAAGACTGAAATTTGTTGCATGTGTGTTTACAGTGCCATTCGTAATGCATTCCAGTTGAGCACAATATTAGCCAATTCTCGTCAGCAAGATAAAAGGTAAATCTTACCAACCTTCTAGATTTGTGATTGTTTTCAATTCTCCCAAGTCATTGTTCCTATGACCTGTTCCGATCTTGAGGTCATCTCTCAGGCCAACATTGGTTTACCTGTGAAAACAGTTGAACTATATGTTAGTTTTAGGTTGAGTTTCTTTTCTAGGCGGAAAGATGTCAACACATTTTATGGGTCCCATTTACTTTGTCACAAGGAGTGAAGACGAGAATAACATAACGAGCAAAAAAGAGATAAGCCTAAAGCCGTTTCACTTTTTGCAGGTAATACTAGAGGTTTAAGTGAACAAGGCTGCCAAGAAGTTTTGAGGAACTTGCCTGCAGGATTTCAGGACTTCTCTAGCAAATGTTCAAATGTAACCATGTAAAGTTGAACTCTCAAGTTTTCAAGATTATATGGTAGCTTCTAGGCCGTGTAGGGTTATACATGTAAGAGATGACGATGTATGTGTGCTTCATAAATGCAGCTTGTCAAAAAATACTCTCAGAACATGGCAGATCGAATGTGATGATGAAGTTCACAGATCATATATTTTAACAGTTCCAGAAAAGGGAAGTTGCAAACTTAATGATAAATCAAGAAAACCAAGGATCAACCTAATAATTCCCCAAAGAATTAGATATAACCCTCAGAAAGGAACAACTATAAACACTAATAAATAAGCAAATGACACCAAATAACTCATCGTCATTTAAATAACCCGGTAACAAATGGGTAAGCTTGAATTGCTGTAGAGTATGCAACTTCTGAGGGAGGAATAGAGAGCCAAAATATGAAATTGCTCTAAGGTAATCCCATTTCTTTGCAAATGAAAGTCATCTGGCAACTCCAGAAACACCTTCCCTTGTTATTACAAACTCACAAGTTGAATAAGGTAAATGGGGAGCAAAAACAACATGGAGTTCCCTCGTTTTTCGTCTATTGACAAAACCAATATAATCAGCATCAGGCGAAGCATTCTCTACTCCTTCTGTTACCTCATATCTTGACAAAAAAAGCCTTGAGTTGACACAGTTGGCCCAAGACAATCCCAAAGCAGGCCAAACTCGTCTTCCAGACGTATACAACCACTCCAAATTCCCAACCCGAATACCACTAGACCCCTCATTGTCTTCTATTGAATCAACTACCTGGTTTGTCAACACAATCGCAATCCCAAACCGCTTAGCGTGCGACTTCAAAAGGGAGGAAATCTTGAAAAATAAAGAGGACCGCCGCTTAAGATCTCTGGGGTTGTTCTCAAACTCACTCCTAAACAAGGCAGCAATCGAGTCAATGACGATCAACTTAATATCCAGCCGGGTTTCCTTGGGTTTCTCAAGTCGAGACTCCAACAAGAGCAATACGTCGAGCAGGTCTTGTGCGGTTTGACAATCACGGGTAAATATATAATCACGAGGGTCACGAGAAGAGGCGAATAAGATCGGATGAGACAACCGGAAAGATTCAAGGAGTTGATTGAAACGGCGGTTGGGAAATGGGAACTCGGAGTAAAGATAGAGAGAGGAACCGGAAAGGCCGTTGAGGTGAAGAGGAAGCTGCGCGGTGAAGAGGAGTTGAAGGGAGAGTTGGGTTTTGCCGCAGCCGCTTTCAGAGACGAGTTCGGTGATGGAGTTGCAAGGGATTCCGCCGCCGAGGAAGGCGTCGAGAATGGGACATCCGAGAGTACAATATTGGGTGTTGGCGGGGCGGAGGAGGAGACTATCCGGTCTCATTGAGAAGAAAGAGGAGGGAAATTGTGTTGGACTGGTTTTGTTTGAATCGAATCATTTGGCGGGCCATTCTCGTTTTTCATCTTTCTTGTATTCCTTCGATCTGTAAATGTTTGTCATCAATTTTACGATACTTTTTTTCTACATAATGGTACTTGCTTTATTTGTAATAGATGACTAAATAATTATATTTCATTTTACCTTATATCATAAGAGTCTCTTAATTATTTTGATCAATTAATCATTTTACACCAAACTATTCAACAACTGTCAGTTATATTTCATTTTACACTATATCATAAGAGTCTCATAATCATTCTACATCAAACCATTCAACAACTATTAAACAGTCTCTACATGTAACTTACTTGCGTGTTTTAACCCATACATTCTATGCCCAAGGTAATATTTGGCCTGCCACCATCCGAAATTCGAATAACAAGGCACATGATGGAAGTGACAGAAAAACTCAATATATTATCTACATTTCTCACATCTTGACTAGTCATTTACTAGTCAGGTTTATTACACTCACTTACTCTAGTAACATTTTTAACCCTTAAAATATATTATTGTTATACGTCTATTATCTGGTAAATCTTAATTTGGTAAAGGTATTATCCCTCACTTACCAGATAAGATTTTCTATTCTTGTTATCTCTAACCTAGTAACATTCTCAGTTTTTGTTATACTTTCCGGTCAGCTAAATGAGACCTAGGTTGTTCATTTCATTTTCCATTAATTATTGTATGGATAAGGTTGTTTGTACCGATAAAGTTGTATGTATGATAAAAGAAAATGTTTGGATGTTGTATTGAATAAACAATGTAAAAGAAAAAAACCGACCATTTTACCTTTTGTTCTATATTTTTGTCTAATTAAACAAATTATTTGATAAAAATGAATGATAAACAAGTATGAACAAAAACAGGACCATTCCTAGGACTACGCCAATATGTTCAATTGTACAACCCCCCCGAAATATAAGAGGTCCAAAAAATCGGAATTCTTTGGATTCTAAAATGATTGATATTTTCTTGTTGTAAAGGGTTCTAAAAGATATTTATGTAATAAAAAAGGTCCTAAATATAGATATACTAAACGATTATCTGCAACATCTTATACTAGAATTTTATCAAATAGAGAGAAATGTGATAGAGATTGACTTGTATATTTTCTAAAGCTCGATAAAGTATTTTGTTTTTGGTGTACTTTTTTTAAAAAAGAGGAATGTAAATGGCCAATTAACAAAATGATGGTTTTAGAGATTGGTCACACCTTACTACTAGACTTCAGGGCATGAAACAAGTGCGGAACATGTTATGATTATGAAAATTTGGCATGATTTGCATGTAAAACTTCAACAAAATGAAACTATTGATAGAGTTACTCAAAATCAAATAGAGAAAGAAAAATCATTGAAAAAGTCTTGGTAAGATTTTTTTGCATTTTGAAGTTTCTTCCAAACATAATCTTTGCATTTCGTGGTACTAGCGGCAACGTGTACCAAAAAAGCAATGGAAATTTTTTAGATCTCATTGAAATATTGGCTTAATTTGACCCAATTGTTCAAGACCATGATCAAGGTATTACAAATGATGATATACATATTCATTATCTTGGTAATAAGATTGAAAACTTAATAGATTTGCTTGCTAAGAGAATCAAATCTGAGATCATTAACAAAGTAAAAGAGGCAAAGTATTTCTTTATTCTTCTTGATTGCACTCCTGATGTAAGTCATCAAGAACAAATGTCCTTAATATTAAGGTACGTAGATTTGTCTTCTAAAAATGTTTGTATTGAAGAGTCTTTTCTTGGATTTTTGAAGGTAGATGATACCACTAGCAAAGGTTGGTTTGATGTTTTATAATCCGAGTTAAACTGTCTTGGTCTAGATATAGACAATATCCAAGGACAAGGTTATGATAATCGTATAAACATATAAAACACAGATCCGTACATATATGAAAAGAACTAGAGGAAAAAATTTAGCAGGTGAAGGAACATAAAAAATGAGAGCTGAAGCCTGAAGCTAGACAACTGCTACCCTGGCTGACTGTAGGTTGTCCAGTTAAGCCATAAACGAACAGATAAATATGGCTTACTGAATAATTTATACAACATATATAGCGTATTAAACCATAATCGTTAATAATCCGATCGGTCTTCTTATCTATGAGTGGCTTTGGCAGGCTTCGAGGTCAATACATCAGCCAGCAGTAGCTAATGAGGCAAGTAATTGCAACGAATATGAGCATATTTGTTGAGTCGCAATTGAAGCCGGAATCCTAATAAAATTTGCAAATTCAAATGATCAAACTACAAAATACAGTTTCAAACAAATGATATCAATCTTTTTTAGCAAAATGTGAAAATAATCATAAAATGGTAGTAAAAGCCAGCTATGAAATTTAACACAGAAATTGAACTAAAATTCATTTCAAATCGCAAACGAGCTTCGGTTACATTGATGTATCACACATCTCTACACAAAATACCACAACCTAACCCTAGAAAACCTAGCGTACCTTAACCACCAAAACCGTACAGTGTACGGCCTTGACGCTTCAAAGCATAAACAACGTCCATAGCAGTAACGGTTTTCCGACGAGCGTGCTCCGTGTAGGTTACAGCGTCACGAATAACATTCTCGAGAAAGATCTTCAACACACCTCGTGTCTCCTCATAAATAAGACCGCTAATACGCTTAACGCCACCACGCCTCGCTAGACGCCGGATCGCCGGCTTCGTGATTCCCTGGATGTTATCACGGAGAACTTTCCGATGTCGCTTCGCTCCTCCCTTTCCCAATCCCTTGCCTCCTTTTCCTCTTCCAGACATTTTTTCTCTCTCTCTAAAATTGATTTGAATCGTGTTGTTTGAAGATCGATGCAAGGAACTTTCAATATATAATATAGGGTCAAGTTTTGTGCTTTATAAGAGGCACGTATTAACCGTTGGATTGGGGGATGTGGTGAACGTATGACCGCAAGATAATGATCCGTGTGGTGAATGGAGAATCAATTTAATTGGTCAATTAGTGAAGGCACGGATTGACCTAAGTAGTGCATGTGAGGGTCACGTGAGTAATGGACGACAATTATATTATACTTATAATTAAACTCTTAATAATAAATATATATTTTGAAATCTATTTATTTATTTTATATATTTTTTGATCAATATATTAAATTTTGTTGATACTCATCCCCATTCCTATCCCCGCATTGAGCCAAACGGGGATCCCCATCCCTAATACCCGGTTTAACAAGAAAACCCTGTCCACGACCAGGGTGGTGGACCGGGTTCCTTGACGGATCGAGACCAGTTCCCATACCTAGGGTCGGGGTTCAGCTAGAATGAGGTGGGATAAGGTTCTTTCCCTAGCTTCCAGTTTCTAACTTCTTAATGCAGATTTTCAATTTCCAACCTTCTTGATTTCCAAATAAGGATTACCTATAAAACTCAAATTAAACAATCAAAAATGATAAGTTCAATAACAAATTGATTCTATCTACAAAATAGTGTTAACTAATTAACTATTTATCGTGGAATTCAATATGTAATTTAAATATTTAAGTTTTTTATTGAAGGGTTAAGTTTCGATGAGAAAGAAAGTTATAGTGATAAACGTAAAAAGAGATGTTCATCTTTTGATCAACATTAATAAGATGACCCGAGATTTATCAGATCAATTCTCTTCTAAACCGCAATTCATGGGTGTGTACGAGAATAAAAATGATCAATGATTCATATATTTTCTTACGCTTTTCACTGTAACTTATTTTCTCACACGATTATTCGCGTTTAATTGAAAGTCTAACAAAGAAACAATAAAACATAATACATCATTTACATCAACAATTGGAAGAGAATCTTAATGGTTAAGAACAAAACTTTCAATTCTCATATATGTAATTTATGCGCATATAAAAACATATTGAAAAATGATATAAATACGCAAAGTCAACTACATACTAATATAAGTTGAAAGGGAATAATGAAACGCGTAATTAATGTCGTACATTTCTCGAACTTCTCAATTTCATCTATGTTTCTTCAACTATAATGGTTGATTAGGGTCTCTTGGCCAATCGTGTGTACATACAAGAGCTTCAACGATTTTAGGAGTTAGAAACCTTTTAAAATTATCGAAGATTAGTACTAAATATCGATTCAGATGTCGCAGTTGAAATTGGAACAATAAGTGTATCTCTCGCCACCTTGAAAGGATAGGAAAATTTTCACTATTCACCTTCCAGTGTCTTAAAATATCAAATTTCATTTTGTATCATCTATTTCAAGTTCACTCTTTTTGTTGAGTGAGACCCCATTGTCCATATTTATTTATTTAGTTGACTTTTTAATCTAGATTGTATCATTCAAAAAAAGAACACTCTTTCATTTAACGGGTGGATAAAGCATCATAGTACTAAAATGTTCATAATATGTTGTGTAACACACATGATTTTTAGAGGCTTTCGTTTATGTCTATAATGGTCGTTTGACTATTAAAATGGGAAATAAATAAGGTTATAATATAGGGAGGTTCAGGGAAACATTTAAAAAAATGTAAAATTGAGGAACACCCTATTAAACGTTCATTTGGATGGTATGCATATATGCATACCAATAATTGAAGTTGCTTATTGGTTTTTATGCATGTTATGCACATGTGCATAACAGACATATTGCTTAAAATTACCAGTATGCATATGTGCATATTGTCCAGATGGACGGTTACTAGTAGGGGTGCTCACGGCCCGGGTTGATCGGTTTGGAGTCGTTTAAACAACCTAACCCAATGTTGGCGGTTTGAAAATTTTCAACCCAACCCAACCCAAACAAAAGTGTTGATCCTCTCTCTCATTGATTTGTTGATAATCCCTTTTTCCTTTCGATGTATTTATGTATCTGTAATTTCAGTTCCAGCGATCATACA